TAAAGATCTGTAGCTTTTATACATCTACACATATAAAGCCTCAGCTTTCCAATATTTTGGAAACACCTGTGAATATTTTTAGCTTCGTTACAATTAAACATCTAAAGTCTCATATGTCAAACATTTTAGAAACACATATAAAGAGTCATATGTAGCTTTGTTAGAATTACAAATATAAAACCCTACTTTCACTATAATTCAGATACAGCTGTGAAGCTGTGTACTCAGTTTATGCATAAAAACCCTCATACTCCTAAGTTTTTAGAAAAACCTATAAAGAAGATCTCTAACATTAGAACATTTAAGAATGTTCTAACTCTTTGCTCAAGAGAAGTGATTTTTTGCCAAACATTTCAGGATCATCAATGAAGTTCTCTAGCTTTATTACATATACACATATAAAACTTTTTACCGAACATGTCAGGAATACCTATGAATTTCTCTAGCTCTGTTACAATGAGACAGGCCAAACTTCCACTATTATGACTTTCACTATGACACATACATATAAAGCCTCTTTTGTCCGACATTCTTGGAACACCTGTAAGTCTTTGCTTCATAATCTATATATTGTGTTTACATTTCTGTTATAAAAATGCTTATTAAGTCATTTAATCCATGCGAGTCCGTTGCTTTACAATTATCGTAGCCTGTCTACGTTTATTTGTGTTTATGGCTACCCAACTGGCCGACTAACAGACTAACTGACTTAACTGTTGATATCACAATATCAAATTTTTTATCATTTATCAGCAGTTATCATTTCAATTACTAGGCGCACATGAATAGCTGAAACCCCGAACCACACATTTTCATTCCTGTACGATACGGTTTTGTGTATTCAAATTATTTTATCACATTTTTTATTATTAATAATTCTGTTATATTTATTTGTTTGTTTTTGTTGTTGTTGTAGTTCTTGTTGTTGTGCGACAATGAAGCTACTAGAATATCAAATTTTATTTATTTGTTCAATTATCACTTAATTTTCTCATAAAAACAAAATTGTATCAAATTAAAAAAAATGTTATACTAAAAACACATGTGAACTCGAATTAAGGGCATTGAAACTTTAATTAAATTAGTTGACACTTTTTTTTAGAATGAACTTGTACGTTTTATTTTGCTTCCCAGATACTAAATAGAGCCTGATTTAATTGCTTATACAATTTAGTGGTCAAATCATTGGAACGGGCTTGATCATGATGGAAGCAGTGACATAAAAAACTTTATAACTGTAAAACTATTTCATTCATCTTAATAATTTTTTAACTGCAACTATTGTACATATTTAATTAATAGATTCGGCAAATATAACTGAATATTACAAAACTGTAATGAGACAACTTATATATTTCAAGAAAAATACCTATCGTTTTACTAACCTTCTTGAGATCTACATCAACATCATCGCATATCAGTCGTTTCTGTCATACAACTCATCAAGAGTTTGTAGAGAAAATGTATATCCAGTTTGCTTAAGTAGATAGGAAGGTTTAGAGTCGTCGTATTCTCAAAGTCAAAACAGGCAATCTAGAGCAAAAAATTGTTTATAATTATAGTTTGTTTTTTAAATAAAGACATAGCTCAGGGTCAGAACGTATGATCGCAGTTTTTTATTTATGTGAAAAATAAATCTTGGTCTAAATGTACCCGTCATAAGATTCTCAGAAAATTCTGCAGGTTTTCTTTGTATTCATCTTATTGTTGTCCTGAAATTATATACAATATAACTACTTATTTCTATTATAGTTCTATATAATAGTGCTTTTTAATCAGAAAGATCTCTAAATATTTATCTGCAATTTCCAATTATTACAAATCAAATTAACAGATATACATATACTTCAAAAATTTTAAAAATATAGAATATCCTTGTGACTTAAGATTGTTTTTGAATCGAGTCCTATTTGGAGTCTCAACAGCATGCTTCAATCCAATATAGTTACATGTCATCGACAATCTGAGACCGTAATTCTTTAACGTACGAAAAAATTTTCCGGTACCAATTTATTAAATTTCTGGATATACCTTCCTTATATGAGCAAGTCCCATCTAAATCTCTGGTAATCTTTAAGTCACAGCCTAAATGCACCTCCATAATGAGTGAAAAGCGTTAACACTCTTCCTATAGAATTTAAGTGTTCATCATAGCCGCCCTGACAACTCAATATAGAGCCAAAAAATAGAGTCCAGGATAACGAAAGTTGTAAGCATCTGGATCCCGTAATAAGAGATATATAGTTAGAATTGGATGTCACAAGCAAAAACTCACTTGATACCAGTTATACTCCAAAATTGTAAATCGTCTTTTATGGCAAGCACCCATGTTATATATATAAAATGCTATTTTTATTTATTTATCAGTTAGGATATCATCAATTATAGAAAATAATATCATAAGTAAAAGTCATAGCTTTTTGGAACTTGAGACCAAAAGCTACATGTATGTATCTATTAATTTAATGTATGATAATATATTAATATTCGCATTCCTTTTTTTTCTTTTAGCCGGGTGATAATACAGATTCAAAATTATTACAAATCATCAACTTAACTGCCGTAGGCATAAAACGTCTCATTAAAATGGCTAAAAAGCTCAGTGCTTTTCGTGATATGTGCCAAGAAGATCAAGTGGCACTGCTTAAAGGTGGCTGCACCGAGATGATGCTTATGCGTTCTGTGGTTACTTACGATTATGATCGTCACACGTGGATGGTAAATTTATTTAATATTACTATGTAAATTTTATAAATTAATTTCAAAAACTACATTTTTACAGATTCCACATGTAAAAGAAAGTATGGCTAACATTCATGCTGATGTCTTAAAGCTGGCAAATGACAATTTATATGAGGAACACTTAAATTTTCTACGGAGCTTTGACGTAAAGTGGCGTAACGATGATAATATTATGTTGATCATCTTAGCCATTGTATTATTTACGCCAACTCGTGACCGTGTCATACATTCCGATGTGATTAGATTGGAACAAGTATGTTATTTCTATAAATTATCATAATATTTTTTTTTTAATAATGATATTTTTTTTATATATTACAGAATTCCTACTATTATCTTCTGCGAAGATATTTAGAAAGCATTTATCCTGGCTGCGAAGCTAAATCAAATTTTATAAAATTAGTACAGAAAATATCGGACGTTGATCGTCTGAATCAAAATGTTATTGGTGTCTATTTAAATGTAAATCCAGTTAGAGTCGAACCCTTATTACGCGAAATTTTCGATCTTAAAGCCTTCAATTAATTGATGTACCTATTAATTTAAGTATGGAATGTATTTTTGTATAGTTGTACTTTATGTTTTGAATGTGAAAGTAGTCTTTAAAAGGCGAACGCTATTCAAAACATTGGTATATTGTAGTTAAAGATTTTTAACTTTAAATTCAAGCACACTTAGGCAAATCATTAATTTAAGTATGCATGCGTTAGAATCACTTTGCAAATATGGCATATGTTTTTAAGAAAGGCACTTAATTTCACTTGATTTCACAAAAAAATTAATATTTCAATCTAAATAGATTAAATAAATGAAGTCATCACAACAGATCTGTATCGGTGATGGTCGAAAATAAACGTAAAGTTGATTTTTGCGAACCTTATTGCTAAAAGACTAAATTTCTTAAAAATATCCTTGTAGATTCAAAAGTTGTCTTTGTCTTTAGAAAAATTTAAAGCAACTACTTATAGAAAATTATAAAAAAATATTTCTACAGCATAAAACTGACTCTGTGGTGTAAGTCTTAGGTCCAGTAATGTATAGCGAAATTTATCGTTCCTGAACATTGTTGTGTTCTATAATGACCGAAATTGAGACTGTTATTATGTAGTGAACTGTTGCACTACTGTTATCATTATCACGATCATTTTTTCTATTCGTAGAATGTTTTTATTTTTTCAATAATTCTATGCAAAATATGCTGTTTTTCCCGGTAATCATGGTAATATATTTGACTTCGGTTATCTCACATTAAAGAGTATCTATACTTAGACTTTCTTGTATATAAGGCCCAAACTGATGGTTCAGACATATTTTTTTTAAAATATACTTTATATATAGCGAATTTCTCTGAAATCTGTTTCTGCTATTTTCATAGTTGGCAATTTGTTACTGTTTAGTGGCTTTTCTCAATGAAATGTATTATGCTATGTTTTTAGCCATCCGTTCAAGTTGTAATATGGTAGCTATTATCTGAATCATGTCTTTATAAACAAATTTAGTTGTCAAATCAAAAACTGTCAATACGCGAATAAGCATTAAATAGTCGGTAAAACCAACCTATTTTTGGCTCTTACATTGCCAAACAATTTTTTAAATAGATTCCACACGGCAGCCGCTGACATGGTGCTCTATTAAAAAGCTCAAGAACAATTGACACAGAACTTATATTAGCATAATATGTTAGGATAAAATAGAATGGTGACTTTGTGTACTAAAGCTCAAACTCTAGATATTCTCATCCAATATAACACACTGATGAAAATCAATTTTATAAAGCTTACCAGAACCTACCATTCAGAAACAAAAAAAAGAATAATTAATGTTTAGAATAACTGTAATGTTCAGGAACCTTATATCCTTCTTTCTCGTTAAATTTTGAAAACTATTAGCAATTCAAGAGTTTTAGTAGTTGATGAACTTGATCTTTAAATTTACAAAAAAAAACAAAAAATCGGTTTCCTTTCCAGCATATGATCTATTACTAAGTGTTGTTTTAAAACTTATGATATAATGTAAGAACAATAATATTTCTACATAGTATTTATTATTAATAGTCTTTGATTGTAAAATTGTTAATAAATTAATTTGCTCTTAAGATTTTAAATCTGAACAAAGTGATAATCTGTACAATTCTATGAAAACATGCTTGAACAATTTCAATATGCCATTTTAGTTGTACAAAAACGATCTTTATATATATATTATATATAATAAATATAATTTTATTGATGTTATTTAATGCTTTAAATATTTGAAATTTTAAAAATTTTTGCTATTTTAATGTTATTATTAAAAAAATAAATGTGTAGTGTGCAATTTTATTGTGTGTTGTTTTAAACAAAAAGAGATTTTATTAATAAAGAGACTATTTTGTGTAATAATTAAAAAAAAAAACAATATACAAGTATTTTATTTCTCACAACTACAATTAAAATAATATATATAAAATAATTTTTTTGAGAAACATAAAAATTACAGTTTTTGAAAATTATCGTAATAAACTTTATAAATATGTATATATATATATATATATTTGTTATAATTTTATAAATAAGTTTATTAGTTATGTTACTATCAGACAAAACAGCATTAAAATGTTAAATATATTTTTTAGCTCTTATAGTTTATTTGTACTAAATGGATAAATCGTAAATTGCATCATTTTTGGCTAATAGACTTCGTTACTAAGACTACTGCTTGTTCAGTAATAAACAACAGAAAGTATACAATTTATATAATTATATTTTATATATGTTAGATATTCTCGGTCACCACTATTAGTTTTCATCAAATTTATGTTTAGCCATTACTTTGAATATGATAAAATCACAGCAACTGGAACAATCAATTATTTATAGTCATTTATTAAAGAACCATACGAGAGCGTGGTTCCAGGATTAATTCCAGAAAACCTAAAACCGTGTGCACATATCACACACCCTCTTCAATACAGGTTGGTATGCAGTTCTGATGTCAGTTATTGTTTAGTCCGACGAAGTGAAGGACGTAGAGAGCGGTTATGAAAAAACCTCGCAGTTAGTAGAGATATATATAATATACTTAATATTATTTTATCATTGGTACTGTTTATTTTGTTATATTTACTTTTTATGGAATAAATACTAAGTATTCTTATATGTTTGTATTATTATATATATATACATATTTACGTTATTTATTATATAAGTGGTAGTTCAATTCAGTTTTTAATTCAAAAATTTGTTAATCACAAAGTAAAAAGAATTTAATATCTATGAGATCTTACACAAGTATTTGCAAATTTTAATTTTTATATAGTTGGAAAAAAGAAATATGAGCATATCATCAGATATATTCAAAATTAATATTATTTATAAATTTTATATTTTTTTCTTAATTAAAATTTACAAGCCTTAATAATTATTCGAATGCTACAATATCGTATTATATTCGTAAAAAAATCCGTTGCTATTAAAAAAATTTAGATACAAAATTATATGTATTAATAATAAAAATGAACTACAACTTTTCCATGTGCAAAAAATAAAAAAAAAAACTATCCAATGTAAAGATATTAATGTGACAGTTAAAAATTTAATACATAATTATTTATAGATTATGAACAGATAACAGCTCCGTTTACATTACTTAACCTCATACACTATAGAAATATTTAAAACAAACTTTATTACATCCAACTTCTGCCTGCGCTTCCTGAGCGGCGTTTATCCTTTTTATCACTTTTGTCTTTACGTTTAGTATCTAGTGAATCATCCGCACCCATACCTCGTAGTAGCATTCTTATGCCTCGAGCTTGTACTTCAGCCTTCCGTCTCATATTATTAACCTCTGTTGCTATAACGTAGAAATCATCAAGCAATGGACTTGGTGGTCTAATTTCAACAGGTATGTCATCTAAAGTTTGTGGATTTGTAGATGTTGTACGTTTACGTGTTGCGATATCACTTGTGGCATTAAGATTTGGATTACTACCGCTTGCTGTCGACTGTTGTTGCTGTTGCATTTGTTGTATACGTGCTTTTAATGTGGCATTTTCTTCTTGTAGATGTTTTAATAACATTGCTTCGTGTTCTGCGTATACGAACGTAGGTTTTGGCATACATTGATATATCATAGACAAAAAATTTCTTAATGAGATTTGAAAAGTATCTTGCCATTGTTTAGTAAAGAAAGGAGAAAAAACAGGGGATTCTTCTGGGTTCGTACAAAATGGAAAATCTGTATGTAAACACAAATTAAAATTATTTTACATACTATACTTTAAAACAAAAATAAACTTACAAAACCATTCCTTCCATTCGCTTTGCTGGTGTAATTCATCCGACATTTTAGAAAAGAATTCTTTTATTTTGTCGGGTTTGTTGTTGGTATGAGCCGTTATTAAATACAGTTTATATAAACTACTTTCAAATTTCTTTACAGCTAAAAATACAAAAATATTAACTTATAATTTTTTCAATGTAAATTATTACTATACATTGCAAATATGTATGCTCCAATTTAGTAAACAAAAAGTTGTCCAAATGTCCCCACAAAGTGGTAAGCCCTTGTAGGTCACCTGCTACAATATACTGATTAAATTGCTCCATAATCTTTTCTGCGCGAAAACCAAAATCTTTATCTGATTTAAGATCAGCATCTAAAGCTTTAAGTGTATTCGAGAATCCACGAAATATTAAATATTCTTTCAAAATTGTATCCAAGAACTCGACTTGAGCCATTATTTATTTATATATGTTTTTAATAAGTTTCTCACTAATAGGAAATAAATGTCAGCAAAATAACATACCTGTGTAAAAGTAGGGTTGCATTTGGTAGAGTTTTAGAATAAGATCTTAATACTAACATTTGTGTGTGGCAATAACTATCAATCTAGTGTATGCACAAAGTTATAACACTTTAGATGTTCTGCCAGAATAACAACATTACTGTAATACTAACAACTAATTTATGCTAATCGCCAGTTGAAACACATTTGTCATTTGTAATAGTTCATATATTACTTAATACTGCCAATAGCCCATGCTACACTTAAGTAAAATTGAGGAAATCAGTTTTTATAACAGTTTTCGCATTGGTGAATTGAAATTTTATTCATGCCTTGCCAGTTTGATAAGAAAACTTGATACATCTAATACAAATCTATATTTAAAAATTACCAACGTTTCAAAAGGGCCAATTTAATAAAATCTTATTATTGTTATTAATAATAAAAAAGGTGTATTCTTTTAATATGAATGCTTCAAAAGAACACATGTCGCTTAAAAATTAACATGCAAAGCAAAAACAAAATTCGCTGAAATAAGCTCACTTTCCTAAAAATGCTTAATGAGTAAACCTCTCACTCTACAATAATGCGAAATCTTAAGACTGATCTATTGTGAATGATTTTTGGAAGAAAATAGAAAACTGCAGTCAGCTGTTTATTATTTAAAACACGTGCGACTTGTCATATGTTTACTGATTTAGACAGTGATGCCAAGTTATTTTTAAGCACCAAAACTTGTTCTCTTTGAGCATTCATGACAAAAGAATACACTTATAATTGATAATTATATATATTATTATTAACACCATTATTATTAATTTACATATGCAAAATTATATATACATATAAAGTCTTAAGTACAAGAGAAAAGTTAATTTCGGGGAGAATCTTGACAGAATGTTACTAATATCAACAAGATATTTAACAAGATATATTCTTTTGTATCATTTAATTTAAATAGCAAGTGTACAAGTATGTTTAGATGCATTAGATACATTTAGATGCATCGTATGCATTAAGTAGTTCGTGTTGTATCAATGCTTGTTCGTGAAAATTTGAGAAACGAATTCAAAGAAATTTTAATTTGTGCATTTTTCAATATCGTATAAGTAGTATTTTCTATAGTCATCTTGTTAACTACAAAGCAAAATTTAATTATTATTATGATAACGTATTATAATGATTATTATTGCTAAATAATCAAAAAACTTTCATATTCAATCAATAGCATTTTGGGACGATATAAAAGAAATTAGTATAAGCTATTTAAAAAATATCTTTACAATTTTGGCGAATTGTTGCAATTATAAGAAAACTGTTAAAGCTAAAACGAAAACTAAATCTCTGCCGATTGCACTTCGCAACAATACATATTTGTCAATAAAAATATTTATGAATTAATAAATAAACATCGGTTAAAACAATTTAAGTGAAAAGTAATTATTAAGTTCAAATAATATTCACTGTTATTATTATGAATATTCTTATGTTATTGCTAAAGCCAATAATTTGATTTTTCTGGAAGTTAATTTTAGATATATTAAAAATTTAAAGTTGTCAAAATTGATGTTTTTTCTTTTTATTTCATTTCAAAGATTATCAGTATATAGAAAATACTTCTTATTACCTAATGCAAGAGATGCTTAAAATGTAAGTAATTACTTGATGCAGATATTCATTTAAAACTATTTTAAATTACATGTGTATTTTAAAAATAAATTATAAATAAAAATATTTTGACAGTTTCGGCAGTATTGCCAACATATTTATAATTTACTGAATAATGTATACTGAAAACTGGAAGAAGTGAAAATCAGGCTGATTAGTGCTTTTACGTTGTTCAACACAGATATATGTATATGTATATTTTTAAAAATAGTTTAATTTTAATGGTTTAAAATACACATAATTACACGAAGTTTATTATTTAATATATATATAAAAATATATAATATAATATATATATATTTTTGTACCGTTCTTTTGAAAGACATGAAAAATTTAGAATGAATTTGAAATTTTAAAAATTTTTTTGTGTAAGCAACACTGTTTCTTATCGAAGTGACATATGTCACCATTTTCTGATATAACTTCGCATATTTTCGTGTCTCACGAGTGTGAAGTATTCTGGAAAATTTTTATTATCGTTTCATAAAATTTGAGTCGCATAAGCATTAATAAATGCGTTGGCTGGAAAAAATATTGAAATATGAATCCAAGAGTAATGAAAAAACAAAATGATATATCGATAATTGGGAAATTGCCAAAACGGTTGCAACAAAAGTTCGCTGAAGGAGCAAGTGGCGGAAATCTCGATAATGATATTATTGAGGATTCTGTGGAAAAAAAATCTGAACCAAAAGTATTCAGTAAGGATGTTATGCGTATACAAAGCACTAGAAAAGGTAAAACAAACAAACATAAAGTTATCACATATAATACTTGAGGAATTTTCTAGATGCTGATATCTCAGTGCAGCAACGTAAGCGTAACACTACTGAAAAGGAGTGCACAGTTGATCCTTTTAAGAAATTTCTTATAGAATCTAAACAAGATTACGGTCAAAGTGTAGATGATTTAATAATCCCAGGGATTCTACGTATTGCTGTGAGAGATATAAATTTCACAACCAAGTGTAAAGAAAACGGTGACGTAGAGCTTGAAAAAAGCCAAAAGCAAAAACGTCATCTTCACAAAAAATGTGACCATAAACAACATATAGAGTTACCAGTTTCTCCAGCACGTCAAAATAATACCAACAATTATCCAAAATGGTTTGACGCAATCGAACAATTTTCGCACAACTTTCTAAAGAAGTTATACGATACATTGAATGATATGATGCAACGCCAAATTGTAGTGAAGGTATATTTCTTTTTTTATTAAAAAAATCTAGTTAAATTATATTAAGTGTCTAAACAGAACTGGGCAAACTTTAAAGAAATTCATGCAGAGTTGCTGGAAGTCAACGACTTTATGTTATTGCATCAGCTAAAGTTATATTGTGAACATAAAATAGATAATTTCTTCTGGAAATTACTTTATTACAATATAAGGGAACATTTAAAACTTGACGGTTCCGAAGAAGCTGAGCAAAACATTCTCTGGTTAATTGATAATGGCTTAGTATTTTATAAAAATGTTTACAAAAAATTAATGGCAAAATATGTTTGTAATAAAAATGGTATCAATGGAACTAATGGGTTGCCACATTATGGTTTAAAGTATGAAAATATTGCCATAGTGACTTTGCAGAAGATTTTAATTTTCATGGGTGACTTAAGCCGTTATAGAACTAAGCAACTGCAATCAAATGATTTTAGTGAAGCTCACAAGTACTACTATGAAGCGTTTACATTAATACCTACTAATGGTGTGCCGTTTAATAAACTAGGTGTCCTTTGTATTCAAACGGTAATATTAAAAATACTTCTGTTAGAATTTTTAACTATTATTACTCTTTTAAATATTTATTTCTGAAATTAGCGCAACAAATTTGATGCAATTTATTTTCAAATGCGTGGTCTCATGGCTATTAATTCCGTATATATTGCAAAGGAAAGGTTAACTATTATTTACGATGAAATTCGAAAGAAGGTAAAATTTGTTACTTTATGTATGTTTAAAATTTTATTTGACCCTTTTTGTTTGTATTACAGTACGAAGAGACTGAGTTATCATCATCTCCAATACATCAGTATAAAGAAAATACTATGCCTACCAACCGTAAAGAGATCTGGGTATATCCAAATGGTGTACGGCGTCTCCATCGTGCAATAATAAGTAAAACCAGTAAAGTAACACTTAGTCAAGAAAATCGTCTTAATATTTTGTCAACGGAAGAGGTAATTTCAGCTAAATAATATTATATAATGGATGTGTTTATATATGTGTATATTTCATAATTTTAGTTACTACGTCGTTTTTTATCTACTTTTATCTACATAAATGGGAAATTCTATAATGGTGTTGAGTAAGTTTTTAATGATAAATCTAATAGAATGTTCTAGAATTTAGTTCAATATACTACATTTTATATAAAATAACTCTGCGTTATGATCTATAACTTTATCAGCAGAGTTATTTATTTGCATGTAAGCTGATAACCGCTTAATGATTTATGGCTTAAAATGTTTTTATTTGTTGCATGATTAAATCATAATATTTCATTCAATTATAAATATTCAATATTTTGGCTGTTAACAAAATTTTTTATTTTACTCCTTTTACAAACTTGATTTCAGTATGGACTCCATAGAGGCGTTTGAACGAAAGCTTTTAGTTCAATTAAGTATCTTGCTTAAAAGGAGTCCTTTGGTTATTTCACGTTCAAAATTGTTAAAAGTGGTTGCCTTAAATATCTTCGTTATAGAACATAATAAAAATAAGAAAGGTAATATAAAAAGACTAAATAATCTGTGTAATTGAAATATATGAGAAATTGATTATAAATAATTGTTAATTTTTTATATTGTTTTTTTTTTACAGCAGCTGGACGTGAAATACGTTATCATGCATTTAATTTCGCAAACCAAATATTTGGTTCCATAGTTAATAGAGCTAATCAGTTGCTAATTGACTATATTGAGACTGGACAAGCTTTCGAAAAAAATAAGTAAGTCGCATTAGTCGCAATATAATAAGATTATATATCTAATAAAATTTTAATTGAACAGTTTTACGGATTTAAATACTTTGTTGCAATATATTAAAATCTATACTGATTGGATGTCACTTAATATTGACTTATGGGAACCAATACGCAATGAGTACGTGATTTATAATATTTATTTGTTTATTTGTTTTTATTAACTTGTATTCGTTTACATAGGAATATTGTTATTGATTCATGGTTTGAGCTGGAATCACTTTTCAAAACCCTTTATCATTTACAAAAGCATGAGATGACAAAGCATGAAAATGTTGTTGTAGAAGATGTTATATTGGATGAAAACAATTTTCTTGTTGGTTACATACCAATAGGTTCAAAACAAACTCAGTATTACAAAGTGAATGATACTCCCCAAGAAACACAATTTTATGCACGTACAATGATAATCTCACAATTCAGAAGTATTTTTGAAAAACATGACAATTTATTGAAATTACCCGAAGATTTAAGTTTTGATACGGAAGCTGATATAGATGACGCTGCAGAATTGGGTTTCAAAAGTTTATCTTCAGATGAAGACGATGCTACCGATAGTGACAATAATGAAAATGTTGGCATAAACATTTCTAAACAAACAGAGCATATGACGCGTTTAACAAAACTTGATGCAAAAAAGAATGGTCATGTGCAGAATGGTTGTAAAAATTTGGATGTAAGTTACATTGTACTTATATTAATTCAATTGATTGGAAATTAATTAATTTCATTTTTTTTAGGAACTTTTAAATTTTGTTAATAAAACATATATTATAGAAGTGCGTCCAAAATTTTTACTGTTAGACACTAACTGCTTTATTGACTGTCTGAAAGATTTCGTAACCCTTATTAGTAATCATAATCGTTTTATATTGATCGTACCATTAACTGGTAAGTAATCTGAACATCTCTATTAATATATAAAAAGTATAATGTATATAATATATATATTTAAGTATATATAATATAATATAAATATATAATAAAGATAACTATATATCTAGGAATGGTGATTTGATACAACATTCGTTGCGCTTAAGAAGGTAGAAACAGTCTTAGGTAACCTTGATTCAATTAGTTATAAAATGCAAGTAATAGATTAAGTTCCGGGTATTAAAATTTTTATGTCCTATAATAAAAAAATATTTCGTGTGAAAAAAAAATAAAGACAAGGAAATTTATTGCCTGACCATAAATTTGTGTACTTATGTACACATATATGTATGTGTCAGGTATCGAACCCTGATAAATTTGAAACGAAGACTCGCATGTTAACACCTTGAGCCAACGTCACACCTAAATTATCTAATTTAAATTAAAATAAATTCAACAGAATGCATTTTTATGCCCAGTGTATCAAAGTGTTCCGAGTATTGTATTGCTGTTGGTGTTGTTGTTGAAGAGATCTATGTAGCAGAAGGTATGATGGGATTTGCTTTCAACGTATATATAATTTGAATATAGATTACGTAAGGTTTCTGATTTTGTTGAGAAGATCTATGTAGCAGTAGGCCTAAAAGGATTTTCTACCAACGAATGTAATTTAGACATAGGTAAGGGTAAGGGTTAAGTGAAAAGAGATATGCAATAAAGAATGGATGAGGTGTGGGTGGGAATATACTCGTATTCGAAGACTTGGAGCAAGCTAGTCGGCGTTCGAAAATTTTCGAAAGACTTGATACATAAAGAATGGAATGATCGAAATTTAGAACATATTGAATAATGTTTGAAGCTCTATTATACACATGAATTTCTTATAATATTTAATTTAAATAATGATTTAATATAATAAATAATTTGCTTAAAATAGTTATAAAAGAACTCGATGGTTTATCCAAGGGTATTAAGAGGGAAATGGACAAAAATATAAAGAGAGATAGATTGCAACATTATGATGATGTGACAACGGCCGCCAAAAAGTCATTAGAGTTTTTAAAAGCACCGAAATGTAACGTTAAGTAAGTTAAATCAGATAATATTAACTTCAAAATATATTTTTATATATATATATATAAATTATAACAGTTACTAATAAATAAAAAAATTAAAATTTAATAATAAAATCCTTTAAATTACTTTTAGATTTGTTACAACGAAGGGATCTTTTATACATTCCTCCTTGTTTGGTTTGGTTGAAGAAGAAAATATTTCTAACGATGATAAAATTTTGGCAAGTGCCCTTTCTTTATGTAAAAATATGAGTATTGAGAAGACTAAACGTAGGTTTTCGAATATTGTTATAAAAATCTTTTAAATTGTTATATTTAAATATTTATTTATTTAGGTAATAATTCTTTAATTCGCACTGAACTGGTGGTTATAACAACGGATAGAAACTTACGTGTTAAAGCGCTTGCACGTAATTTGGCGGTAAGTGGTCTCAGTGAATTCTTGCTATGGATAAATGGATGCAGTACATAGGATTTAAGTTGGTTATAACGGGTTATTCAAGTATTAATGTAACGTATGACGAACATACACATTATCATCGTGTTATGCTGGTATAAATGCTATATTTCTGGCTGTTAGGACCAACTTACAAAACTAATACAATGGATCACGCAAAGTAGCTGTGGTACGGCTTACGAAGTCAAGTGAACCCATCCAAATAATAAATTTACGATCACAAATATTTGTGAACTCTTTTAGGAATTTTACTTATGCAAACGTGAGCATTTTTTATTAATAAATTTCATTAACTTTAAAATCATTTAAATCTTCAGTGGATTTGTTCATTAAGATAAAGATACGTAATAAAGTTTTTGTGTTATCACCGAAGTAAATTTATTTTATTTATTATGGAAAATTTCGATTATCATTGCTAAGCTAAATGCTCTCATAAGAGTAGTTCTGACAAATAAGGATTCATATTGTTCTGACTCGTTAAAAATTTTTATAAGTATTAAAAGATGAGATTAAATTATCTATTTAAACTTAAGTAAACCATATTTTGGTCAGTTTAACACCTAAATAAATTGTTAAAGAACTCTGCGATAAATAATTATTTTCATTTTTATATTATTATTTTATGTTTTAGATAAAATCCTTAACATCAATAGAAAATATTTGAATTAAACATTGATAAGAACTATTATGAAATAAAACAAAGATTATTCTTCAAGATCTCAACCAGCGATGTCATATTTGTTTTTGTAGTGCTCTTTTCTATACGGTTAAACAAAATTGCTCTTTTGTTGTAGTTGTAGTTGTTATTGTAATACGAAGAGATCCTTATAGCAAGAACCATGAAAGGAATACCAAAATACGAACATAAGGGTAAGAATATAGATTATATAGAGTACAGTAAGAGAGATAAAAGAGATAAAATAGAGATAAAAGATGAATAATGAATTATCTTGGTCCAAAGCGAAGGAGCTTAAATAGGTCAGAGCTTAAAATCAATACGGCTTAAACTAGTTTGTAATGGGATATGACTACAGGTAGGTGTTATCATGGGGGTAGAGTTGCAGTTGGGGTACACATTGATATATTGGCAATACCCTAACTTCCTTCTGAGAACTTAGTTGCTGTGAAACCGCGATGACGGTTATGCATCTGCATCGAAGGCTGTTAGTTCAAGGTTATATTCGACCTTAATAATATTGGCTTTATTTCAATCGGCGTCGTTATATTCATGGTATGAAGAAAGCGATTGACGGATACTTAGTGGAGAGAAAGATTAACTGATCATGTTGCCATAGGAGTATATATCTGCATGGCACGCAAATAGATAATGCTCGGACAAGAGTTAATTGTGCTCTTTCACTTGAAGCGGTTTATATTTTGTATGAAAATGGTAAACACGCGATATGACAACTGATTCAAATCCCTAGGGCTACATTTTCACAAGTTTGGATATGTAATAGAACACCTGATTGTTTTGTGTGTGGCCAGCAGGTTTATTAGTCATTTTAAATGAGACACATTTTTCATGCATGATACTTGCATTCTTCCAAGTTTGTAGCATTGAATGGTAATTATTTTGAATAATTATATAAATAAACTTGTCATACTGTACCTGAACTATACAATTTATTGCCATACTATCCATTTGCATAGAAGTTATTTCCGACAGTACTATACTTACACTGACAAAAATCTTTAATTAAAAAACATTGTATTATTCGTTTTAGCGTATTTATTTCGTTAATTGCTTTATTGTATGTTTGTTTTGCTTTTAAATAAATGATTTTAAATTAAAGTTAAAATTTTAATAAATAAACTTAATTAGAAAAAATTGCAAATTAATTTTATACTAAAAATACAAATAATAATTTAGCGTCATTAGAAAGTATAGATTACTTAAACGAAGGCAGAAGACATACACGTACATACATACATATGTTTATATACAAATATACATGTATAATAATAGCATAAGAATTAATTTTAAAACTATAATTTTATTAAAATATAATATTGTATATATAGAGTTTCCAATAAAATTAAAATGAATCGAAAGGCAAATTAGTTCCAGTGTTTAGGAATACTAAGTTTACAGTCAGAGCTTCGCTTAAAATGAAATAGAAAGAAAAATATACTTCTTCCGATTTTAATCTATATAATTTTTGAAATGATTTACTACATCTAACTTCGCGGGTCTGACATTTATCAACTACAATACTTTTTTCTTTATATTATTCCGATATATACCATAGTACTAAAAATGTTTAACAAATTATGAACAAATCCTAAAAGGCGCAATAATTGCATAAATATGTATAAGTGGGTATGTAAGTATGCATTTGTATATGTAAATATCTATGTATATAATATGTATTAGCAGCTTAAATGTACTCTTCGAAAATCAGAAATACATTAAAATTTCTCCATAGCTTTATGTTTTGCTTAATTTCCTTATATAAAAAGTAGAATTGCGCTTGTTACTAAATTTTGTTGGGGTTTTCGGTAAGAACCCGTAGGGATCCATTGGCAATAAAGAATTGAACATTGGCCAACTGGATTGAACATTTAAAGTGCAGTTTCCAATGCTGTCATAGAAGCACTCATATTGTTTACGGGTCCATTTTTACTCGCTGCTGGCTCCACATCAATGTGACTGCTCGCGTTAAATTTGGCTACAGCTGCACCTACGGGGCCGCTGACATATTTATTGGCACTTACTGCATTTTTACCGAAATTATGTTTCATTTCACCACGCATGAAATTATTTTCTTCTGTTTGTAAAAAAAAATTACGTTTAAGATCGAACCGTTCTTGCGCGGAGATCTCACGTTGTTCGGTAGCATCACCTACTTCAGAGCTTGTTCTCGAGCTATTCGAACCGCTTGTATTCGAGTGATCTTCCTCACTGTTCGCCTCTGGTATGGTTGTCGACATTATATCGGTACGTGGCACATTATTTGCGCGCCAAGTGGCAGCCGGAGAGCTTTTCAATTTTGGTGCAAAAGATTTAGAAGGCGAACCGAATTGCCCTTGTCGCAGCATACGTCTGTTGGCGAATGTTTTCGGCGAACCACTGAGATCAAGTAATTTCATACTTGAATTAACTGACTGCACTGCTGAATTGGTATTGTTATTGGTATTTGGCGCTGTAGTGCTATTACCGTTTGTCTTCTTCAACAGTTCTACTGCGGAGACTTTCTTTTGTATTGGACTAGTTTTCGTTGATTTTGCCAATAATAATTTTTTAAAGTCCATTAGACTTGTTTTGCTTTGACCTATGCGATCAGCACAAGTATTCAAACGCTCCGGAGAATTGTCATCCCAGTTGGCAATACGCGATGTTGGCTGTTTGGCGGGTATATCATCCGCTGGCAGTTCGCTGTCCACTATTTTAGTGGGCGTGGATGTTAAGAAATTGCTGCGATTACGTGGCACAATCGGTGATATATGGCTGTTAGACGCTGTTGCATTTCCGGCAGCTGCAGCACGTGCTACGCGATCTGCACGTCGTATAGGCGTGGCATACAAATCATCACGACTTGTTGCGCTCATCGTTTGATTCTTCGTTTGCCGTCGATTCTGCAATGTCCAGTAAATGGGCGTATTGCGTTGAAACGGTGTGTTGGCAGTGACAGTGGCATCTGTCTCTGAAGTTATATCCGCTTGTTGTTGTGTCAACTGCGGTGCCTGTTGAGATGGCAGTGTTAGTTTTTCCTGATGCTGGGTCTGCATACCATTGGTTGCCTTATAAAAATGTTGATAACCTATGAGAATAAAATTATTTAAAAAATTAATTAAAATATGTTACTAATGTAGTGAATTATGGATAAATTTATTAAGTAAAGTACTTATGTTTAAAGTTTGAAGACATGAAAATGTTAGTAAATTCAAAGCAGGCAAGTACTACAAAATGCGGGTTATAGTTCAGAAACAGAAAGCGGTGCAAGAGGTAATACGGATACACATTAATGAAAGCCAAAAACAAGCAATAGAGCAACAGTTGCAAAAATTAAAAAAAAATATTTCTCTACTTACCTGTCGTTGTATGTGCGTAAGTGCAGACTATATTTACATACATATTTATGCATAACTATGCTTTGGGCTATGTACATACATATATATCATATACATATTTATATCACAAGATGTTAAGTATTTATATATACATTTATGTATGTACAAACATAATTACAAATAACTGTGTCATGTGCATGTACATTGTCGATGTGGCTGGAACACCAATGACCCCCATAGTAATTATGTACAATATTCAATGCGATGGTGGATGAATGGAACTATGTGAATCTTAAAAACGAACCTTTTGCCTAGTAGGTCACTTTAAAAAATAACTAAATAAATCGGATTAAAAATTGATTTCCTATTCTCTTACATTTTCAATTTGATATATCATATATACCGAAACTAACAAGAATGTCATACCTATATCAAGACAGCTGATACAAGATTTTTATAAAGTAAGTGCTGGTGATGGAAAAGTCAGGTGAAGAACAACCTGACGTTAATCACTTCCACCGAGCTGTCTAGCTGAAGCTAATGGTGGAAGAGTCAGTTAAAGAACAAGCTGACATTAATCGTTACCACCGAGCTGTCTAGCGGAAACAAGTGGAGTCTATTGTGAACGTTACACGTTTAAAAAGCTCAATTAAGTAATATATTTTTAACTGAGAAAAATAAGAGATGCGAATAAATGGAATGCGAATAAACTGATATACATATATTTCAACTATTTGTAAGTTATTTCAGTGAAAAGTGTAGTCCTATCACACATTGCACCTATAACTATATAAACATTATTATGTATTACTAACAATAAAAAATTAGTAACAAGAATGACGATTTCTCCACTTACAAGTCTTGTACCCATATAAATACATCACAGGATTATAAAAAGTTACTTATAAGCGTAAGCCTCTTCAGGCGTTTACAGGAACCATATAAGGGAGAGGTTTTGAAAACTACTTCAAGATTTAAAAGCTCTATAGTGCGCATTGCGTACTTTGGGGTGTATCTGTGGTAGATATCAAAACTTACGCAGGTAGAGTAGCATAGAGATTTCAGGACGCTGTCGCTACTTACTTAAAGAGAAGCCATGTCCATATGCATGGTATCGGCGGAACTGGTTTCAATTGGATGTTGATGAGTGTATGACAGTAATCCGAATGTTAAGTTAACCGTGGTAACAAGCCATCCTAGCAGGTGACAACGTAAATCATCGCAGATGCAATTATATTTTTCATATCCGTTTATGTTTATTAGTCAGTAAAAATGTCTTCTGTGTAATATATCGACATACTAAAATACTCGTTACACTAACGTTATTGTACTCAAAACGTGTAAGAACCATT